CGTCTCTAAAGCGTCCTGTCCTTGCCGGCGTGGTCATGGGGGGAGGAGGATGACTTCCACCTCTCCCCCTGTTAGATTCCCGTTGTGCTGTGACATCACCCTTATACGCTGTGTAAAGCATTCTTTTCAATTTATTTTGCAAATGCTGCATCCTTTCATACTTGTTGTAATTCGGTAACATTTCCGCCACTTTCTGCTTATACCGGGAGTCTAGTAGCGTGGACACCCAGTACAGGTCGTTCTCCTTCAGCCTTTTTATACGAGGGTCCCTCAGCAGGCACGACAGCATGAAAGACCCCATTTGCACAAGGTTGGATGCCGAGCTACTCATTTCCAGTTCCTCCTCCTCACTGATGTCAATGAAGGTATTTTCTTCCCCCCAGCCACGTACAACACCACAGGTACCAGATAGGTGACAACGAGCACCCTGGGATGCCTGTTGTGGTTGGTCTTGCTCCTCCTCTTCCTCCTCCTTAAAGCCACATTCCTCCTCTGACTTCTCTTCCTCACAATCCTCTTCCAGCGTTGCCGCAGGTCCAGCAAGCGATGCTGATAAGGCTGGTTCTGGTGGTGATGGTGACCACAATTCTTCCTCTTCACGCTCATCTACGGCCTGATCCAGCACTCTTCGCAGGGCACGCTCCAGGAAGAAAACAAATGGTATGATGTCGCTGATGGTGCCTTCGGTGCGACTGACTAAATTTGTCACCTCCTCAAAAGGGCGCATGAGCCTACAGGCATTGCGCATGAGCGTCCAGTAACGTGGCAAAAAAATTCCCAGCTCCCCAGAGGCTGTCCTAGCACCCCAGTCATACAAATATTCATTAACAGCTTTTTCTTGTTGGAGCAGGCGGTCGAACATTAGGAGTGTTGAATTCCAACGTGTCGGGCTGTCGCAAATCAAGCGCCTCACTGGCATGTTGTTTAGCCGCTGGATATCGGCAAAGTGAGCCATGGCCGTGTAGGAACGCCTGAAATGGCCACACACCTTCCTGGCCTGCTTCAGGACGTCCTGTAAGCCTGTGTACTTATGCACAAAGCGTTGTACGATCAGATTACACACATGTACCATGCACGGCACATGTGACAACTTGCCCAACTTCAATGCCGCTAACAAATTTGTTCCGTTGTCACAAACCACTTTGCCGATATCCAGTCGCTGTGGAGTCAGCCACTTTTCCACCTATGCGTTCAGGGCGGACAGGAGTGCTTGTCCGGTGTGACTCTCTGCTTTCAAGCAAGTCAAACCCAAGACGGCGTGACACTGCCGTATCCGGGATGTGGAATAGTACCTGGGGAGCTGGGGGGGTGCCGTTGATGTGGAGCAAGACGCAGCAGCAGAAGAGGACTCAGCCGAGGAGGTTATGGAGAGGATGGAGTAGGAGGAGTAGAGGAGGTGGCAGCAGGACTGCCTGCAAGTCGTGGCGGTGTCACCAACTCCTCTGCAGAGCTAACTACCATTCCCATGCTTGGCAGCAGTCAGCAGGTTTACCAATCGCGGTGTAGGTGATATACCTGCCCTGACCATCACTTTGCAGACCAGGTATCAGTGGTCAAATGGACCCTTGCCCCAACTTACTGTGTAGAGATGCTAGCCACTTCCCTTTTGCTGAGAACAGAACACCAGGTTGGGATTGCCTTTTTGCGAAAAGTGGTACATTTAGGCCGGGGTACCTTCCCTTTCTGCGGTCCCAATGGCTACAAATTTTTTGAGCGCCTCAGACTCCACCAGCTGACATGGTAAAGCTGGCGGGCTAACTCAGATTCCGGACAAGCCAGCAGTCCAGACGCTGGAGCGAGGGGTGACTTTCTGACATTGTCTTCTTGCGGCTCAAAAACATGTCCTTGACAGACACATGACTGTGGGAAGATGAGGCGTGAACTGCTCAGAAAGCCCGAGGGGCCGGGTGGTGGGGATGGATTTGAGAGGGGACAGGGAGGACAGCAGTGGTTGACGTGGCTGAAGATGCTGGACCAGGAGGAGGCTGGCGGCTTAGAGTAGGCGAGCTGCTTGTACTCATGTGTTGATCCCATAGGCGTCTGTGATGTGAGATCATGTGCCTACGCAAAGCAGTTGTACCTAGGTGGGTGTTGGACTTCCCGCGACTCAGTTTCTTTTGGCACAGGTTGCAAATGGCATCGCTGTTGTCAGAGGCAGACACACAAAAAAAATTCCACACTGCTGAGCTCTGCAATGACGGCATTCTGGTGGTGGACACAGCATGCGTTGATTGGCGTGCTGTCGGGCTGACCCCGGGTGCCGATGCATGCTGTCTGACTGTGCCACTAGCTCCTTGCGACGACCTCCCCCTGCTTCCAACTCGTCTCCTCCTCCTCCCTGTCTCCCCATCTGAACTTTCACCCTGTTCTTCTTCTTGACGAGCGGGCACCCACGTGACATCCATGGACGCATCGTCATCATCAACCGCTTCACTTGTATCTGACAACTCAGCAAAGGAAGCAGCAGCGGGTACAACATCATCATCATCATCACACCGTACGTCCATGTGTGTAATGCTGCCTGCCTGAGACATATCCCTGTTATCTACATCCTCTGGCAATAATGGTTGCGCATCACTCATTTCTTCAAACGGATGTGTGAATAACTCCTCTGACATACCAAGCTGAAGCGGCTGTGGTGCTAGTTTTGGTGGTGGCGGCAGGCGGGTGAGTGGTATCTTGAGAGGTGCCTGAAGCTAAGCTGGAGGAGGATGGTGCGTCAAGGTTCTGAGCGGAGGCTGTAGAAGATTGGGTGTCCTGTGTAAGCCAGTCAACTATGTCCTCAGAACTTTTCAAGTTCAGGGTACGTGGCCTCTGAAAACTGGGCATTATTCTAGGGCCAAAGGGAATCACAGCACCACGACCACGATGGCCCCTGCGGGGTGGCCTGCCTCTGCCTGTCATTTTTGTTGGGATTAGTGGTACTATGCGTGCAAGCTACTGTGAGACCAGATATGAGTGGCAATGTGCACTGGCACAGTTGTGCAGAGCACAGGCT